AAGGTGTTCTCTGCGCAAACCATGAATGATTTGGATGTGTGGCTGCGGAGTCTGTCATCAACATCACTGAAATGCCTTACAATATTGCGTGAGCTCCGACATCCTCTCTTTATTTTCCTAATCATAAAAAAAAACTCCCCTTAGCCAAATCTTCAATTCTGTTAAAGCTTACAATGAAACAGTATGATCAGTGATTTCTTCTTTCCTCAACCTGGTACGTTAACTGCTTGAATTTAATCCTGAAGTCCCTAGTCCCCAGTTAACAACGCTTAGGGGGAGTGGAAAGTCACATATATCAACTCTCGTCAGTCAGTAAATCACTGTGCAACAGGAAACTAAAGAATCACCCGAGGCTTTGCCTAGGTCCTAACTTGCGCCTTTAGAAATTAATAGACAGAGGCCACAAAGTCATTATTGTCACTCATGCCTACAAAGGCCGGACCGGGGTACGATACCTTACCAATGGACTCAAAGTCTATCATGTCCCTTTCTTCGTTATCTACCGCGAATCCACCATGCCTACTGTCTTCTCCTTTTTCCCAATCTTTCGCAATATCATAATACGCGAACAAATCGAAATCGTCCACGGACACCAGAGTCTGAGCAGTTTTTGCCACGAGGCTATTCTTCATGGGCGAACTATGGGCCTACGTACGGTGTTTACTGACCATTCGTTGTTCGGCTTCGCCGACGCTGGTTCTATTCTTACAAACAAACTTTTAAAATTTACATTGAGCGATGTTGACCATGTCATTTGCGTAAGCCATACTTGGTAAACAGAAGCCTTCGTTGTGATCCCAACGACGAATTCTTAATACTGATGACAACGATATAGCAAGGAGAATACAGTCCTTCGTGCTTCGCTCGACCCATTGATGGTATCTGTGATTCCTAATGCTGTAGTAGCGGAAAATTTTCGACCTCTATCGTATGCACCTGGCGCAAATGATCAGATATCCGGAAAGGATTTAGAGGCCGTAGCGGCACCGCGACCTCTAATAGGCCCAGATGATGTTATTACAATTGTTGTTATATCACGCCTCTTTTACAACAAAGGAACGGACCTCTTAATCGCGGCTATACCAAGAATTCTATCGTCTCATCCAAATGTTCGCTTCGTCATTGCTGGCTCGGGGCCTAAGGCGATTGATTTAGAGCAAATGCTTGAACGTAAGGTTCTCCAAGACAAAGTTGAGTTTCTTGGGGCAGTTCGCCATGAGGAAGTTCGTGATGTAATGGTGCGGGGACATATTTATCTACACCCAAGTTTAACCGAAGCCTTTGGAACAGTAATCGTGGAGGCGGCTAGCTGTGGGCTATATGTTGTTTCTACTCGTGTTGGGGGAATTCCGGAAGTGTTGCCACAGCACATGACCACTTTTGCTAAACCAGAAGAGGATGACCTCGTTCAGGCTACTGGGAGGGCAATTGCAGCTCTCCGCTCAAACAGAGTACGAACTGACAAGTTCCATGACCAAGTACGTATGATGTACTCGTGGACAGATGTCGCTCGGCGAACTGAACGCGTTTATAATGGAATTTGTGGAGCAATCAGTGAACAGGAGTTTTACGGTTACTTTCCTGGACAAGGTTGGACCGCTACGAGGGGTCGAATACACAGCTTCGCTCTTATCGATCGACTGAAGAGATACTATGGTTGCGGTATATGGGCAGGGAAATTGTTCTGCCTTTGTGTTGTCATAGATTTCCTGCTATATGTGTTTCTAGAAATATGGTTCCCTCGAAGTAACATCGATATTGCGAGAAGTTGGCCAAGGAAACCAGCAGTCGGAAGTACAGATGACCCTCGTGATATCGACTCATCCTCCATCCGTCGAGGCTCCAGGCGTCGCAGGAGTCAACCAAATGGGATATATTAATTGTGTCAGCAGAGTAACACAGGAAAAGAAATGTTACAGATGTCATGTTTATTTAGGTGTCTACTTGATTCACAGGTTAGGTTGTGACAACTAAACGCGGCGAAGTCATTCGCCTGCTATTTATCAGGTAATGGGTAATTTGTGGCATTACTGATGTATATGTATCGATTCCAACGCCGCACTCTCCGCCGTCATCTTGTTCACTAATAGACCTATACCCGCTCCGAACACATGGATACGTTAAACACACTGCCTACAAAGCTAATCTTTACGGTATATTCAGAAAATATGACCTTGGGAGCCCCAGAGCATCAGGCTGAGGAAATTGCAAGTTCCAGAGCTTCTTATTCTCTTATTTATAGCCTAAAGAGAACAAAATGTTTTAACGCCGTCAATAGATGGAAAGCTATATGGCATTTATGTACCGTACATACATAGCAAAAGCCTCCAGCAGAAGGTGGAGTGATATGTCTAAGAGTCAAGAGAGGATCTTACGATAGCGGCGCACAAATGGTAGAATCTAATCGCCAACGCCACATTGGAAAGAAATGGACCGAAAGATATAAAAGATCACGACCTAAAAAAGGGGCGTATAGATACTCCTGATAGTAAATAAATCACAGGCCAAACTTAACAACCATCTCATTTCACCTCATAACAGGGGGTCTCCCTTCTTTATTCCACTTCACCCGGCTGCGGACCCATTCCACTGCTTCCCTCACTCCACTACCCATTAGCGCACTGACTGGTAGAACCCGACTGTCTCTCACGCCAGCACCCTCCTCGCCTTCAAACACTTTCCTTATAAACCCCTCCTTAATGCGCACCACCTCGACGCAATCTTCTCTGTCCTGTTTATTTGCCAGTATAAGGATTGGCACCCCTACTGTCTCCGCATTTTGCAATACTGACTCCAGAACTTCTCGACACTCATTCAGTCTCCCAAATTCGCTCCGGGGATCTATAGCGCTCATAGGCTCTGTAATTGCACCGGAAGGCCCTTTACCGCTGGAAGACGCGTTGGGCCCCTTGTCCCCCGTCGGACCTAGTCGCGAAACATCTGCGTCTTCGCCGACGTCTGCACTATCAACCACGAAAATAATGGCATGACAACTTGAATAATAACTTTGCCAGAGGCCACGCATGGATATCTGCCCACCTATATCCCATATTTTCAAGTACATGTCTGGGAGTGGTATTGTTGCGACATTTTGACCCACAGTCGGGGCAGTTTTGCCCAGGGGTTGCGGGATGGTTGTATTGGAGGCAGTGGGGAGGAAGAGGGCCTTTATCTGGTTTAATAGCGTAGTTTTGCCCGCATTATCTAGCCCGAGGAGTAGGACAGAGTATTCTATACCGTTATTGTCAAGATTAGAATTGACGAGTTAGCTGACAGACCAAAGCGTATAACGGCAAATCAGAGCAAATGTTAATTGCGCAGCAGTTTGGAGGCAGCAACGATTGTATATAACTCGGCCGCACATACCCTCTTTACTCGTAGCATAGAGATAAATTGATTTTACTAAATGGTACATGGTCTCCTTTCAGTTCTGTATGCTAACAAGACGTGAGAACAGCCGCATTGCCGTTATTAAATCGTAATGAAAGCTGCGAGCTTTCGAGCTCCCGTTTCCAGCCCACTCCGCTTTCCGACGTTACTGGTATGGTGGGCGGGGGCGGAACAGTGGCAGAATCATGACGTTTAAAACAGGTAAAAATTACGACCAAATGAGAGACTGGGGTTGCATCTCTTAAGTAGAAGGTATAGAATAGCACCAAAATGAAGTCCTAAGCTAATTATATTAACACTGAATTAAGTGTCCTTTTGCGCAAAGAAATTAGAATATATGTGATGGTTTTTGAATGGGATCTAGGATGGAAGCTGGCGCCTTGAGGTCTTAAGATCATGTGACACCAGGATTGAAGTCACGTGATATGACAACCCAACCTCGGTAGCCTCCGAGGCTGGTAGCATGTAACTTCGATATATCAGTCTACAAGACCACACCCATTTCAGCTCTACACTGCAAGCTAGGAATCATGCCAATGAAAGAGACACTAGACAACCAGTGTGCTGTCTTTGCAGTAAGAATCAAAAAGCTGGACAAGAGGCATCTGCTAGTGAGGCACTCCAATAAAGTAGCTACCACCCAGCCCTATACCACACGCCTGTCTAGAGCGTCCAGTCATGCTGGTGTGATAGAAGCACATGACCCTCTACTCACACCCCCTTGGATGAGAATCCCCAGGAAAGAAGATCTGCAGATTGGATATAAGGCAGACTGCCCAAAGAAACAGGCAGCACAAGACTTTAAGAGCTGGCTGCAACAACACAATCCCCTGGATCTGGTGGTCTTTACTGATAATTTACAGATAGTGCGCCCTCAGTGCGTGACCAGTGCAGGATGGGCTATATGCTGAGGTAGTGAACACCATCTAGTCTTCACAGGAAACCTGTCAATGGATAAAGCAGAGGTCTTTGATGTGGAGGCAATGACAGCCCTGCAGAGTCTAAAGAAAGTCATCACCTCTCCTCAGACAAGGTACATCAGCAATGTCTACATTTGCCTAGACAATTTGGAGGTAGTACAAGTTCTTGGATCTGTGTCAAACACCTCTCATCAGCCAGTCTTTGTGCAGTTCCTGGAAGTCATAAAGGCCTGGCAGAGCAGGGATAAGCTCTTATTGATCACTCAGAATAGGATGATCATTAGATGAGTCCTAGACCACACAGGTGTAATCAGTAATGAAAAGACAGATCTTGAAGTCAAAGCAGCTGCAGCATAGACAGCAAGTACAAGAACAGTATCTCAACCCAATAGTATAGACACATTAGCTTATATAAAGTAGCATACTATGAAACAAATTACATGAGTCTCTGAGAACTTTTGAATCAAAAATCTGCTCAAACACTATATGAAGCTGAAAATCTCATTGAAGAGAGTCTCAACAGAGATAAAACTTTCACACTTCACATTAGAAAAGCTTTCTGCTGTTTGATCAAATCATGAAGACTTTACAATCTATTACAGTCATTTTAAGCATGAAAATGCAGAGTGCTACTGCTGATGTGAATATAGTAAAATCTCAGAACATTTCTACTATTGCACTCTTGCATGAAAAGTGACAAAATAGCACTAATCTATCTACAATTTTCATAAAACACTGACAATCTCACATAAAACTTTAGAATTTAATAGCTGACTAAGAGAAACAGTCTTCTATCAAAATATCTATTTAATATACTGATATGTACCTTCAAATCAGATCTTATAGATTATTTTTTTTCTACTTTACTTCTGTTTTCTTCATCATTTTTCTCTTTTTTTTTCTTTTCTTACTTATTTTTCTTTCTATTTGTCTTCTTTATCTTCTTCTTACAAATTTAAAATCTTTCAAAATCTCTACTTTATGATAATTAATTCACAGACTCTGCTGGTGTAGCAATACATAACTCACTTTATCTCATTTATAAAATAGCTACTAGATAGATAGTCATCTATAAATGTAGCTCTACTCACTCTATAGTTTGATGCAGACTTTACTAAATCATGTGCTCTTCAGACACACTGACTAATCAGATATTAAATAAACACACACACACACACACACACACACACACACATACACATACTTTAATATATTAATCAATCATCACAGATGATATCATAATAAAAGTCTGCAATTTCATATAAAAATATCTTAATTGATTTTAATCACATCTCTATAAACTCTCTCTCGTTCTCTCAGATAGCAAGTTTGATGATGTGTTAACACAGTACTATCAGTGCATCTGACCTCTTTACAACATCAAACATGTTTTGAGTCTTGATATACATTTGCTTCTTTATATACTAATTACTCAAAAGATCTCATCTCTTTATCTCAATCATCTTCCATACATACGAACTGAATGACATGAAGTCTTTAAGCTCCTCTACACCAGCAGATAGCTTAAAGAGCATAAGTGTTGCATCAATACATTTCAATCTATATGATCTGATAATTAGTAAGTTTCTAGCTGCTTATGAGACTGAGACATAGAAATCTTATGCAGAAGCACTAGCTGCTGCAAATATACTTAATCAGATTGATAAAGACTTAGATGACATAAAGGCAAAAGATCTATCAAAAACACTGATTATTGAAGTTGTCATGAAGATATTAGTCAAGAACTGATATATTGAAAGTCTAGAAACAGCAAAGCAGTTCATCACAATTCAGTTCACTGACTTCACTAATGCAACTGATACAAGAGCTTCTATCTATGTAAAGACAGCTGCAGACAGCACTAATATTGCAATAACATCAGCAATTATATTATAGAAATCTCTGCTTAGAAATAATTTTAAAAAAGAAAAAAAATTATAAATTTTAATATATTTATCTTCAGATTATTTAGCTTGCAAAGCAAGCTCAATCACTACTCTTAGAAAGCTGAAGATTAAATTTTTAAAGTCTTTAATAGTAGTTACCATAGCATTTCAAACTATTCCCACAGACATTACCATGATTTTTAAAAGCTTACAAGACATGAAGACTCTACTAGTTAAAAAGAATGATATAGCAGCTGCTCTCATCAATACTCAGATAAAAAAGAAAAAACATTAAATTATTTATCTGATTTCTAAGCTGCTTATGAAGATTAATAATTATGATGATAAAACTTTACATTTCTCAGTAGAATTCATAACAGAAGAATTTATACTTCAAATTAAAATTAAGTCTGTTCAAAGTTGCTGAATAAAAACACACTCTAAAAACTTAATAATCACTTTTATATTATATTTTTTACAAGAGACAGCAGCAAATCTGTCATCAAAAGTAAAACTATATAAATATTAAAGACTAGTTATCAGAAAAACATCTAAGATCAAAATACAACAATGCAGTAGATGCTGAGAATTTTATCAAAAAAAATACTATCTCTGCATTTTTCATTGCAAGAAATACAGCTTTAAGAATTATATAAAAGAAAATTTGATTTGTTATAAGAAAAACAAAGTATGCAGATATCTTAATTACTACACTAACTGTTTTGAATCACATGCTATAGATGATTCATTCTACTTCATCAGATCAGAGATAAAGAATGAAATAATTCAAAAATATTCAAAAAATCAGCTGAGAGATATCTGCAATATACAAAATAAAATATATTTGATCAAGGCAAATAATAGCAAATGCAGTGATTGAGATTCATCAGCAGATCTGAGATTGAATGAGTTTATCAAATGTAGATCTAATCTCATATAGATATTAAACATAGCATTAAGCATAGTATTAAACACAGCATCAGATATAGCATTATACATAATGCTTAACTCAACATCTAATACAATAATCAATATGACATCTCATGCAACAACATTCTTCTTTCAGCTACTCAATGAAGAAGAACTTTAAATCTTTATGATTTCTGCAGATTATGCAAATCAATATAAAAAAAAGATTCAGTATACAAAATAGCTCTCAATCTATTATTTAATAAAAATTGATATTTTTCTTATACAGAAACTCTGAATTTATAGAATCTTAAACTGATGCATCTCTAAAAAGCACTCAGCATTTAACTACTTTGTCTTAATTGAAAAGTGAGAAAGAAAGTCACAGATTTTCATCTATATGTATAAGCACTCACAAATTCATACTCATGTAGTTTCAGATCTCTGAGCAGAAAACTGAGATATTTATATGCTGTATATATAAATCTGAAATCTACAGCTTCAAATAATCAACATATATAATACATTTTCAGATAAAGAATTCTGAACAAGATGTCAATTGTCTTCTTTTTTGATTTGTCTTAGCACTTTCTTTACTTCTTGGTGATGATTTTAATTTCAAGTATCTCATATGATAATCAGAAATATTTTCAAGTATGTAAGCAGAATCATTTCTGCAATGAAGAGAAATAGATTTTTTTATACTTTCTCTAATCATCAGACTCTTCTCATCAAAATCAGCCTTTTATGAGATGCAAGATCTGACAGATCATCTCATCATTTCTATCTTGATATTATAAATGAGAAGGTTTTTAATCAGACACTGAAGATCTGTAAGTCAAAACTAAATAAATTATAAAATATTTCAGAGTACTTCAGTATAGATTAGCTAGATGCTCTGACTTAAGATATCATAGATATGCTTGTAGCTTCTCTGAAAAGCTTCATCGAGAAGAGCATCAGATAAAACATAGATCAGTCATGATGAAATAAGAATTGTCAAAAAATGATGATAATACTACATTAAGCACAGTATCTACATCTTAGATTTTTACAAAAAGTAAAAGACAATGTAGTCAGAATCATCAGAAAAGTCAAGAAAAAATACTGATGAAATAAGATAGCAGAGATTTCAGCAGAAAAAGATATCTTTAAAATAATTAAATAAACTCATTCAACTGACTTTTTTTATTTTTCTTCTCTTATAGATGAAGAGACTGAGTTAGTATAAACAAGCTCTAGAGAGAAAAAAGATTTTTTGCAACAGATGCTCTTACAAAAGACTGCAAGCAGAGAGAATATCTTAGTTAGCTGATCTGATGTATCATTTGTCAAATTATTATTTTCTATTGTCTCAGCATATGAGATATAAAATTCTCTGCTGAATATAAGTAATATTATTTCAGAAACTGATGAAGTATTAACAGAGATGCTATGAAAGACACGATCACATATTAAGATATCAGTGAAAAGACTATTCAGGGTCTGTCTTAAAGTTGACTAATACTTAATCTCTTTTTGAAAAGTCATGCTGATTATACTGTTTAAAATTAATAAAGATTTAACACTTCTGCAATTCTACAGACTCATAGTTCTTCTCTCAATGTTGGAAAAGAGACTGAAATGTCTAATAGTCTGTAAACTGATTTGAACAGCTATACAAGAGAAGATTGTTCACTTTTAGTATGTTAAAGCTCTCTCTAAGCAAACTGCCTTAGATCTACTGATAGTAATAATTCATAATATAAAGAAAGTCTTAGCTTATGAAAAAGTAGTTTCTCTTCTTACTCTGAATATCATAAATGTATTTGATGCTGTACTCAGAGAAAGAACACTGCAGAAAGTGAAAGAATAAGATTAATCATTAAATTTAATTAAATAAGTGAAAAACTTCATGACAGAATACACAGAAAACATTAGAATAAATGAACTTTTGAAAGAGCTATTTGATATTTTAGCAGAGCTTTCACAAGGCTTATCAGTCTCATTTATTTTATTTATACTATTTATTCAGTCTCTGTTCTTTTTAAAAACTATATAAAAAAGATATACATACTCAGACTATGCAGATGATTTAAAACTGCTTAGTATTAAAATTGTTTTTGAAGAGAATATTGTTACTCTTCAGAAGAATTTTGAACTACTAAATGATTAAGTCAGTAATGAAGAATTAATATTTAACTTTATCAAAATTGAGATAGCATATTTTATATGATACAGAATTTTTTCAAATTTTTTAATTAATTTTGAAACAACATTTAGCATTCACTTCATTATAGTAAATACATGAAAACTTCATAAAATATCTAGAAATCTGACTAAATAGAAAACTGAGCTTCAAAAAGCATGTGAAGATCATAGCAGCTAAAACATAACAGATGTTTAATAATATATAAATGCTAAGCAACATAGTAAAAGATATTTCAGTACAACTACTTAAACAATTTATTTAGATCTGTGTGTTTTTTGTACTTTGCTATGAAGCAGAGGCCTGATGATCAAAAGTCACATAAATAAATAAAAAAAAAAAATCTTTAATTAAATGAATTATCTAGTCAAAAAGCTAGATTTAATTCTTAGAGATGTCTTGCAAGAAGCACTGTCAGTCTACAAAATCACATTCATTTCAGCTCTACATTGTGAGCTAAAAATTATGTTAATGAAAGAGACATTAGACAATCAGTATGTCATCTTTGCAGTAAAAATCAAAAAACTAAATAAGAGATATCTACTAGTGAGATACTTCAATAAAGTAGCTATTATCTAACTTTATATCATATATCTTTCTAAAGTGTTCAGTTATACTAATAAGATAGAAGCACATAACTCTCTAATCATATTTTTTTGAATGAGAATTCTCCGAAAAAAAAATTTGCAGATTAAGTATAAGATAAATTATATAAAAAAACAAACAGTACAAGATTTTAAAAATTAACTGCAATAATATAATTCTCTGAATCTGATGATCTTTATTGATGATTTATAGATAATGTGTTTGCAATATGTGACTAATGCAGAATGAACTATATACTAAGATAATGAACATCATCTAATCTTCACAGAAAATCTGTCAATGAATAAAGCAGAGATTTTTGATATAAAGAAAATAACAACTCTGCAGAGTTTAAAAAAAATTAGTATTTTTTTCAGACAATATATATCAATAATATCTACATTTGTCTAGTAAATTTGAAGATAGTATGAGCTTTTAAATCTTTATCAAACATCTCTAATTAGCTGATCTTTGTGCAGTTTTTGAAAGTTATAAAGATCTGACAGAGCAGAAAGAGACTTTTGTTAATCATTCAAAGCAGAGTGATGATTAAATAAGTCTTAAATCACATAGACATGACTGATAATGAAAGATAGATTTTGAAGTTAAAGCAGCTGCAATATAGACAGCAAATACAAACACAGTATCTAGATTTAACAGTATAGACATGCTAGCTTATATAAAATAGCACAATATGAAATAAATCACACAGATCTTCAAGAACTACTGAGTCAAAAACCTGTTCAAATGCTATATGAAGTTGAAGATAGATTTGACAGTATAGACATGCTAGCTTATATAAAATAACACAATATGAAATAAATCACACAGGTCTTCAAGAACTACTGAGTTAAAAATCTGTTCAAATGCTATATGAAGCTGAATATTTCACTGAAGAGAGTCTCAATGAAAATAAAACTTTCACACTTCTCTTTAGAAAAACTTTATACTGTTTGATTAAATCATGAAGATTTTGCAGCTTATCATAGTTATCTTAAACATGAAAATGCAGAGTGCTACTATTAGTGCAGATACAGTAAAATCTCAGAACATTTCTACTATTGCACTCTTGCATGTAAAGTAATAAAATAACATCAGTTTATCTACAATCTTTATAAAACACTAATAATCTTATATGAGACTTTAGAATTTGATAGCTGACTAAAAGAAACAGTCTTCTATCAGAATATCTGTTCAATGCACTGACATGCATCTTCAAATTAGATCTCATAGATCATTTTCTCTTCTGTCTCACTTCTGTCTTCTTCATTATTTTTCTCTTCTTTCTTTGTTTTCTTCTCTTTCTTTTCTTTCTTTTTTTTCTTGTCTTTCTTTCTATCTGTCTTCTCTACCTCCCCCTCACAAACTTAAAATCTCTTAAAACCTCTGCTCTATGGCAACTGACTCACAGGCTCTGCTGGTGTAGCAATACACAACTCATTTTGTCTCATTTGTAAGATAGCTACTAGATAGGTAGTCACCTATGGGTGTAGCTCTACCTGCCCTATAGTTCAACGCGGACTACTAGATCATGTGCCCTTTAGGCACTAACCGGGCGTTAAATAAAAACACACACACACACACACTTCGATATATTCACGAAATACCCCTATCTTTAAACAGACAAGATTAAGGATGTATAGATATCGAATTTCCAGCTCCAACGGGTTCCCAATAAAATGGGTGTTTAGTAGCGTGTCCTCAGAACCCCTTGCAGCCAGGAATAGTTTGACGCTCACAAGAGAGTACAGAGAAGTTCTGAGATATAGTCGACAATGGTTAATCCGAGCTAAATCCCTCCCATTCGGACTCCGAATTCGACCCAGAAGCATCATCACTATGTTCCCCAATACTTCCTCTGGAGTTTACGGGTACTGGGATATTAACAGCGGAACCATCATTCCCTTCAGAGCTATTATCCCGAATGAAGCCAGCAACAAAGAATCCGCCAGTACCCTGCTCGTCATTTGGCCAACACCGCAAGCATGCATCCCTTTCCGCCTCAGTCAAGTGCCAGCTTCCCTGTTCTCCATCGCCCGATCCGTCAGGATGTATACCCCGATGTTTCCAATTTCGAAGTCCTTGAACTTGCTCACTTCTTGAAAGTATCCTCCATCCTCGTCGCCTTGCTACTGGTGACTTCAGCACGCGAGAAACAACCACTTCGTTTTCCTGCGCATGTATTGAGCAGGTACTGTACGTAACTCGGGTAGCTGCTGGGAAGTTGAAGGCGTGCTCAATGATCCGCTTTTGGAGGTTAGACAGTTTGAAGAGTCGGTCGTAATCGACATTAGTTGGACTTTGATCTTCGGAATCTCCAGGCGCAAAACAGTCTCCATCCGTCTGTGCGCGGACGGTACGCTTTCTTTTTTTGCTCCAGTATCTGGGGCCTGACATTGTTGGTAAAGCTAGTCGCGGAACATCAACCCTTCCAACTATCCCGCTTCCCGAACAACTGGGATCAAGTAACAGGCCCGTGACGTTTTGGAAACGCTTATCACAAGGGTTCAGAGCTAGGAAATCTTGACCAGGCAAGACAGACACTAGCTTATCAACACCGGCAACACTTACCATCCGTTGCAGGATATTTGACCGGCTTTGTGAGGCGTCGCATGAGAATATAATTGGCTTCTTCTGAACTAAACCGCCACCACGGAATTCCGTATCCGAACACATTAATGAAGCCAAGTGAGTTGTCTTGTTGCCAGGTGCTGCGCAACTATCTATTAAATCTCCTTTCCATTGCTCTGGATTATCCCCAAGGAGCAAATATGCTGGAAAGCATGACGCTTTATCTTGTAGAATAATCCTACCTCTTTTATATGCCGTTGACGATGTCAGTTCTACCCCCTGTGGAACAGCTAAAAGGTCGGGAACATTGGAGTCTCGATAGTATGTTTGAGGCGCTGATGGCGACAGCTCCAGAAGCGAAGCAGCAGACTTATAGGAAGCAAAAGTGGTATTCAATTCCTTATCTAGGGTGGTAAGAACTTTATTTATCCTAACCCATCTGGGAGATACGAGTGGCTCCTTTTCCGCCCCGTACTGTCGTTTTTCTTTTGCAATCAGAGCCTTGAGTTCCTCGACTGAGCCACATCGTCGGCGAACGCGGGACTTGACAAATTCGGCTTTTATCCGGGATTTGTGTCTCTCAATTGCTAGGCGTAAGTGATGGTTCGAGGGTGCAACAATGCCCCTCCTCGCTAGAAGCAAATCATGGACAAGGAGGATAGAAACAATGGGTGTGAGCTAGATATTTGTTTAGGTGGCCATCTTGAGTAAAGCAGATGAGCGGGGTGACAGGCTGACCGACCTTTGGTTCGAGAGGCAAGAAACCGGCATTCTCAACGACTTCTTTCAATAGAATATCCCACTTCGATGCCTCAGTTATCAAAGCGTACACCTGAGCAGGTGGGGGTTTCAGTTTGGAATTGTAGACACGAGATTTAAAGGAGCCACCCTCGCCCGATGTGCCATCGAGGATGGATGCCGCAGCTACGTACAATGACATTGCATCATATATGTACCAAGGTATGATCGAGGATACAGATATAGAGAGATGTCGCTAAAAGATCCTTGTTGTTTGCTCTGTCCAGAGTTGTGGTTGAAGTAGTGTGACATGCTTATTCCCGATGTGAAAAGCCTTAAAATGAGATCTGTTCGCCGCCTGCAGCACGTGGCAACTTCTCGATTAGGTTTAGCGGTTAAAGAAACGGGAGTCCGCTGACTAACACTAGTTAGTTTAACTAACTAGTTAGTTAACTAAACTATCAGATCTTTCTTATCTTTTTATCTTTATCTGATCTTCAACATTTTATATATTTCACATTCATGAATGAGAATAAACAGAGAGGATAGGATATGTCAGTAACCATGAATATAATTATCGACCTCTATTGAATGTATTTGATGTGTATTTTATTGATAACACAACTATACCTTCGCTCAGCAGGCGTGTCGGCTCTCACATCCGTATTTATTCACCTTCGACTTTCCTGTCGCTGCCATATGAGGCAAAGTGTATAGTCATATCCTTTCCTATGCGTCATACTCTTATCTCAATTTCTCAATTTAAAAACAAAGACACACCTCCCTCACAATGGGCTCAACTTCAAGTTTAACTTCAACCATCCTTTCAAGTTCGCAATTCACCACATCACTCCTCCCACCCCCGGGCCCAATCCTTACCCGACCTAACCCCGCCGATCCCGCCCCTGCCAACAATCCCCCCATATTTAACGATGCCATGAGCGTGCGCACAGCAGTGTTTATAGATGAGCAGCGCTGCTCACCAGAGAACGAAATAGATGATGATGACGCGAGAAGTTGGCATTGGGTTCTTTATTCTGCGGAATCTGACCGGCGTATTCCTGTTGGCGTCATTCGCTTGATCCCTCCTCCCCATGCTCCGCATGAACTCAGACACGAAGGGGTTCTCAACCGCGATTGTTCGAAGAAACCCCTTCATGGCAATGACCATAATCATAACAATAAGCTGGAAAATCCATATATTAAATTATCAAGAGTCGCACTGCTTGCGGAGTTTCGCGGGGCGGGACTAGCGCGTGTCCTTGTAAATACTGCTTTGGGCTGGGCAGCGCAACACCACAGTGAATTGCGGGATTGCCAAGGGAAACCGTGGGCTGGAGACGTGTTGGTCCATGCACAGGTAGCCGTTGAAAAGATATATGCACATTTGGGATTTGTGACAGACGCGAGCATGGGAACCTGGGTGGAGGAAGGAATGGACCACGTTGGTATGTGGAGGAAAATAAAGGTGCCATCAGAATAATCAGAATAATGTAGACAATAGATCAATGAATATGATATGATATGATATCTCGGCTAGAATATTTGCAATTGGTATATTCATAAGCGCATACAAACCTTGCTAGCTTTCTTACGGACAAGTGGGTTGATTAGAAAGATAACTCAAAATACAATGTGGTCGAGGGGAATTAGGTATTGCCATCCTGATGGTAAAAAGCATTCGGCCATGTCTGATATATCACATAACACTGATGGATAGCACGATATATTCTTCAAAATAAGTCATGTCGGAGATGATTGCGCTTAATAAACAGAAAATATAGAACAGAAATCGAAAAATAAACAAGAAAAGGCCAGGTGAAAGGTTGAAGAATAAGATACATGAAAGACGCGGATAACAGCTGATAACAACGATGTACGCCACACCCATATATCGGAGCATATAACACTGGTATATAAATAGAAAATAACTCTGACATATCAATAGCAAAGAAGTGGTACTCTTCAGCAGTCCCGAGCATTGTCGTAGATGAAAAGAAACGATAGTCCGAAAGAGTGGGATAAAACGACATCAAGAGGAAAATTAAACAAAATTTGCAGCGGGGGAATAATGGCGATTAAGGCAGAAAATAAAATAAAATAAAAACGAGAACTAAAGTAAAATAAGTGAGGGAGAAATGGTACTCTGAATATAAGAAGCAAGAGAGGTAAAACCAAAAAATAAAAAAAAATAAAACAAAAAAAATAACCATGAGGACGGGACTGAAGTCAGAATGTGCTCCAGCTCCAGTCTCTGGGAACACTGCTCGCAACGAGACCGCCGTCTTGGTTCGCTCCTGGAGACAGAGTGCCGGAGCTGTTAGCTGAAGCAAATTCAGAGCCACTGGCTCTCATAGACCTTGCGGATGTGGCATTGCCGTCTTGTGTGTCATCTTCTATATGAGAGGTAAGAATTTGTTGTATTTCATTAAGTCGTGCGGTGCGATCTTTATCCCAGCGGCGAAAGGCGTTCCAGCAGAGGTCGCAGGCACGTGAGGGAATGCCATCGGGATGGAAACGAGCATTTTGGTCAAGGAGGACGGTGTGGGGAGTATGCGAGGAACAAAAGACATGGCCACAATGCCGGCAATGGTGGCGACGCAGAAAGAGGCCAAAGAAAGATCTGCATGTGGGTGAGTCGCATGTAGGGGATGCTGAATCGGCCTAGATAAGGACACAGCCAGAAGGGGGGATTCTTGGTTAGATTTTTTAATTGTGGTATTAAAAATCTGCGAGAGGTGCAGGCGACGACAGATACCAAACATCGACATGATGGATGATGCTATAACGATAAAATTAATGTAATATGTCCTGCTGCTGTGCATACCTTCCAATGGTCTCTCGTGGGAGTTCCGGTAACCTCTCCGAGATTCTCATCCCTCAACCACTCATCCTCAGCACGTTTGCTTACAGAAGTTTTGAGGCTTTCGCTTTCGTGGGTTGATCCCCGGGTGGCGGTGCCAGCACTCGTGGTCTCCGAATGACCGTCCAGGCTACCTAAGGACCCATGGACGCTGCGTGGGGGGGTAAGGGGAGATGGCTTGGATGTACGCTCTGTGGGGCGGAGGACGGCGGGGACATATAATGGGGACTTGGGGGCCCGAAGCTGACGCGATTGGAGGTGGAGTTGATGTACATGGGGGTTGTGCAAGCGTGGAGAGGCGGGGGAATTGTTTGCCGGGGTGACGGAGGTTGAATGGACTGGCGACGGCACTTGAGCGGATGATGAGGTTGGATTGGTGTTCGCTTGGATTTGAGAGGGTAGAGTATTTGACATGGCTAGGAGTACCAAAGCGGTATATAGATTAATTCAATGGGGCCAAAAAACAAAGGGTGAGGACCGCAGGTGGATGATGACAATGACTAATAACAAGAGGTAATGGGCTGTGCAGATGGAAATGTGTAGAGCCAATTAATTGCAGTTGGTAGCTTTGATCTGTTGTGTAGTTAAATTCCAGAGTGAAAAAGAGTGGAGAGTGTTGAACGGAAGGGATGAGGTGAATGAGTCTAAGGCAAGTTGTAGAAGGGTGGTTACTTATACATACATACCTATAGGCACCAATTAGGCATATATATAGATGAAGGGTGTTGAATATAGGGTTGTTGAAGGATGGTAGGTGGAGGGCGAAGGATGAACGATGAAAGGCGGCAGGCAAAAAGGGCGGTAATAGGCGGCAGGCGGAAGGGAAGGCTAGTAATAACGCATGGAGTAGGTTGTTGGCAACGGACTCCAAACCTAGGTTCTCTACGTAGTTACTCTTACAGGGTAGCTAATATCTACTAAATAGTTAGTTTACTTTACTGTAATTTTCAGTAACTTCCGATAACTGCATTATTGTTCTGAGTATTGCCTTTGTATACCAAAGGTAATGGTAGTTCCTCTTTCGATGGATGCTGGATGCCCGCTGTAGTCGGGCATGTACATATATTACATTCATTACATTAAAATAGATAGTACCCCCACTACAGCATATATCCACACCTCTATAGATACGATACATGAATATGTACAAACATGCACACAATGACGCAAGACAGACATCTTCTCCGGCGTTACCAACCATAGTTTTAGCCCAAGAATCTCCGGCTCAAATTCCGCGCCCGTTGCCCACTACCAACTTGTAGTTTGACGGCAACGAGTACAATCTCCATTCTCCCAGTGCCACTCTCCCCGTCACTAGGCTCAAGCCGCAATTTCCACTGACCCTTTTGAACCAGCCACTCTCCACGATTGTCCATGCTACCATCTCTCTTACGTTTTAATGCTGCTTGGCCATCATGCGACCGCAATGGGTCTGAGTTGCTGAACGGGAACAAGGGCGGAGAAGGGCCAGACTTAAACACCAACCCGGTAGCTGTCCGCGATTGTGCTACATCGCTGCTTGGTTTACTGTCCACCTCGGAGAATTCCCCGTTACTTCTATCCGAAAACTCTCCAAGATTGGTTGGGCAGGGTTTATTGCCAACTTCGGAACCAAGGGGCTTAGAGACCAAAGTTCTCCTGCTCCCTGGGATTGTGGGAGGGGAGATTCGGACCCAACTCCAATCAATAATGCACGGCTCTCCATCGGGTATAACAGCCGCACAAGAGTCTATCCAGATTTTGACCTGAATTTTGCCTAATGGCACATGGTTGGGGCCGAATGGCTGATTGCTGGCAACCATGCCGGACTTCACCTGTAGCCCTGAGGGTGAATTGGTCGGCTGATTCATTTTATTGGCTACAACTTGAAACAGGTTTCATATCCTCGTTTTCGTTGAGCCGTAGAAATCAGCCCGCATGGTATTCAGGTCAATACGTGTATTTTCATCACCGATCTCTACTATTAATTCATGGGATTTATCGTCGACAAGCGGGCGCGAATAACGAACGGAGGCCCCACCAGGGAGGCAGTTCTTGATGGAGAGCAGCCATCGCTGACGAGTTGGACCCCCATCTTCTGGATATCTTGCAGTTGAATCACGATTTCTGTGCTCTGCTGGCGCAGGTTGTAGCTGATGGAATGAGGTGTGAGCTTCTGCTCAAGCCCTTGGAGGTGGAAATATTGGCAATCACGTAGCAGTTCTGCACGATGTTCCTCGTTCCGTATATGAATGGGATACCCTTAAGAAAATGCAGGAGTTCAGCAAACACTTCAGCGGACCGGTTGAGCACCATGGGAGGCATGATAGCTGGTGGACGTAGAAGCCCCTGCCGATCCAAGCCGGGGAAAACCTCTCCCGGGGTGGCAAAGAAAGCCTCAAATGTGAGAGAGAAGAAATTGGGCGAATCACCAGGGCTAGAAAAGACGTCCCGCGGAATTTGAAAATTCCAGTCTCCAATTTGGATGAATATCTCGGACTCGAACAATTGGGAGATCAAGCACGGTACTGTATGCAGGATATCAACAGATTGGCATCACTCGTGGAGATATGAATAGATATCATTGCGGTCACGTACAACTATAAAATTGGGCGTCCGCAAACAACCTAACAAAATGTAATCCATCTCGTGGTCGCACATGGTAACCTTGGATCGGAAACATGATTGTTAGCTGCGCCTTACTAGATGGCTCCTAGACAACTAAACCCTTATACCTTGAAGATGCTTTAAAATATTTCGGAAATTGGCAGGGTCACGGTCAATATACAATGTTCGTACCGCCGCGCCGGTTTCATGGTGACGTAATTGCCCGTCAAAAAAATGCGAAAAGTATGAAGGAGCTCTAGGATTTTAGCATATATAACTAGTTAGTTAGTTAGTTAGTTAGTTATGAGTGGATGCTTAGAAATCCTGAACTAACCATCAGAGGATATAGATGCACCTGACAGTTTGAACAGCTCTGAACCTATCTGAATAGGAAACACTTTCTCAGGGGGGAGAATACAGGTTTTGCTCTTTGTTGATATATTTGGTTGCTTCAAAATTCCTGGAATGTGTGTGGAGTATCCCGGGTCGATGTTCAGACTATGCTTTTCATTCTTTGGACTATTCTCGCTGTGATTCCTTCCTCCATCATTGCCACTGGCACCGTGAGGTTATGAATTTGTTGACGAGGACATATGATCAGCTTTTGGGTCCTGAGCTTCGCGCGATGAGAAAGTGAATGCAAGCTTATGAGGTATGAATCCTAATGAATGTGTGTAGAAGCGGTATAAGCTGATTTCCTTCTTGTCAACAGTGGCTCTGATTCCGATTTTCGTTTACTCGCTTGAGTCGGGGATTGAATGATTTCGTACCTACGCTTATAACAGAGGATGCCTGAGATGCCCCCAGGTTGTTCCAGTGTGGAAAATGAAGATATAACGCCCGTTGTTGGAGGTGCAAGTGGGGGGAAACGTTTTCTGCAATTGCCCCTGCGTCTGGTGATGCACCGGCAAAATCGGGGACTACCTTCTTTTGTTTGTTTATTAATTGCTCCTGGGGTTCGTAAATGTGAACTCAGTCGAGAAACGAACTATACAATGGGTCACAGTTTAGGCCATCGCGTTCCCAAAATATGAGAAGTTCAAGTAGTCCAGCAGGCGACAAGAGTGCTTTGGATAAGATCTTCCTGTCCTCTCAATCCTAATTCACCCTCAGCAATAATTTGTCTGCCAACGCGTGGATTCGGGGATTCGAAGGGCCTGCGGATGGAGATCGGAAGGTCGCCTCGCCCGCTTCGGGGAAAGAGTCGCAGGAGTTAATCATTGGATATGAAGAAATTGCTGACAATACGGGATGGTGTGGAACATTTAGAAATGGTGAGTTCGGTGGAGAAGACTTTTTGTTTAGTTCTCGGGGACAGGCAAGATTGCTGACGAGAATTTGGAACAGTATCCTCCTCAGATACGGACATCAATGAAATTTCCAGTCTGGAGTTCTGTCCATTTCTTTGCTCTAGCCTAGAAAACCACGTGCCTTGTACTTGATGGAAAAATTGATAATGATTTTTTACTATTCGTAGAGATTTGTGCTTGAATCACATGCATCTCTATATAGCATTATATGACGAGCAGAGAGGTCCGTTATATAACTGGACGCAAATATGGAGGAGGCACAGAGACAGTCGTGTTCATACTTCTCCAGCGCCTTTGGTAAAGAAGGACGCATGCAGTTACTGAAGAATTATGATACAGAAACTAGGGTACAACAAATGAGAATTGGCAGAGTGATGCATTCGATGGATATGTCCCCACTTCTCTCTGTACGATGGAACCTTCATGGAGGTTTGTGGTAGTTGGAATCTTGTTTCGACTTGGCATTGCTGACTAATCCATTGGACCTCAACTACGGATCAACCTGTGGGATGCAAGTCCTGTCAGAAATCTATCTATCCACGTATTTGTACGTACATACAAGCGTACATACAACGAGTTCCTCCAAGCATTGTTGTATAGCTATCATCCAGATATAAAGTCCTTCGCGGAAGCTTGCCGCAATGGCTGGCCCTAATCCGAGTCTGCTATAGCCCCCCCCCCCCCCCCCCCTCTCACAATGGGTCATCTCCTTCCTACCTTTGTGACTCTTTCCAAGCAAATTACTGACACCACTTTTCCGTAGATTTGCTCCTTGATCCGGGTTTCCAGAAATATTACGGTTCGCCTCCTTCCCCCTGATAGCTGTCCTGTTTCTTATCCTGGGAAATAATCCTTCACTCTGTTCTGTTCCCGAATACTGCCGTCTTGACTTCTTATTCCTAACTTTTATCTAGAACTGAACGTCAACCGATACAAATACTTTCGATGGACTCCACGAACAGCGTCGATCTCTTTCTGCTATATGGCTCTCGTGCCTGGTATTTTGGCTTACATCGGGTGCAAAACTGATGTGAGTTGGGACTCTTTCCTCAATTGGCAATATAAGTTGTGTTCCGGCCTGGTTTCTCCCTGCAGGCGATTCCCCCCTGCGAGTGGATTGAATAAATAAAGATGAGGGTTATATGCTGATGAACATGTAGGGCATGTTTGAATTTAGAGGGAAGAGGCGAGGGGACACAATCGTGGAATGGTAGAGTTTGCCTTGGCTTGCCCTGATAGCATGGAACGTTGAATAGAAGGTTTCAAAGCAAAAATCCAAAATTTTCTGATGGAAATCAAAGACTACCGATCGATATAGGGTTCCTACTTGATCTCCCGTTTTGTTAATTGCGGCTATATCGAGCTTAATGGTTGACTAATTTGTATTTGTGTCCTCCTTTTAATCTACAAAATTCCCCACAAGGTAAATCGTGAGACGGTGCAATTCCAAATGTTTAATACATTGGTATTCATTGACCCCACCTCTGTAGATACATAAAGAAAGCTAGAAAAAGAAAACTTGGCTGAATACTCCTTACCAAAACATGAGATAGCCAGAGGTAGTTAAAAGAAAACTTTAAGAATTGCTCACCATGGAAAACGAGAGGGACATGTTGCCTTTTCCGCAGAATAGAGATGGTTATTTTGGCTTGGAGAAGCTCTAATCTCAAAAGCCATTTCAATAGGGCCTTGCCCTTCTTGGGTGACCCCGACTGAAACCACGGCCCCCTCCATCAGGAACCCTTTCACCCCTCCTCCACTCACCAGCAGGTACACCTGCTGGGCCCATGTGAGGGAAACCACCTCCCCTACCCATACTTCCACCTGTTCTTGATCTGCTAAACCCATTTTCTCTTGATGTAGACGGTCCATTGCCAAAAGCTCTCATGCCGCCTCCTATTGCTGAGATTCCTACCACTCCCCTGTTTACAATGGCGGGGGCAATTGAGCCATCAGACAGGGGTGGGAGAATGGCACAATCCACGTAGTCACCAATCACGAAGCGAAAATCTTGTAAACATTTGTCGGCTTCGTCGCCCTGGAGCTTCAGAGGCCCATTTGCTCGACGATCAGTTTCCTGGTTCTCCGCATCATCACTTGGCCCGACAATTACACTACCCATATCCCTGCTCAAGAACCTCCCTCGACCGTCTCCGGCAGCAGTCTGGGTTCTGGTATCGGGATATATGAGGCGAAAGCTGATGCGCGTCCCCACAGCTGGGTCTGGAAGTATTGAAGGGAGACATGACGTCAAGAGCTGCGCGAGTTCTCGCAGGGAGCAGGAAGGCCAGGTGTATATTTGGAGGTGAGGGAGAGGGAGAGGGGCAGGTGCGAGAGACACGTTTCCGCCCGATGGGGGAGAAGGAATCGGGAAATCTGAAAGGTGGTGGAAGGAATGCTCCCTGTAGAAGAGCTTCAAGTGAAAGGGAGTTGTTGTTTGGCGGTCAATTTTGAGGGGCGCGTCAGAGCTGTCGTCCGGCATAGTTGCGAAAGAGAACAGTCATTCGTTGCTACAATGACACAAATAGAGATTTTTGAGCGAAGATTCGAATGAAGAGAGGGGTTCTGTCCCAGAGGTGGTGCTGCTCGATTTACGCACGTAGTGGGTAACAGATAAAGCTTTGTTGGTTGGTGAATCCGATAACTAGTTTAGCTAATCAACACGGGAGATGAGAATAACACCCGCCTTCCTTGTGGCAGGGATAGATATCAAGGGCCTATTGACTGAAGTGATTGGAGAGAGGGAGTACAAATTATAATTTAAGCCAATTTATCTGGAGTTGTTTGGGAGAGAGGTCATGTACTCGCAAGATAACAGCGCCTTTGTCAAGCAAGGTACAAGGTATCAATGGAATTTTACATTCGTTTGGTTAGGGTTAGGGTTATACACACCAACAATATCGTGTTGGGCATAGTCGACCCACTGCACGTGATATACGCGTATCAGAGAGTCTCCTCAGCTCCCATAGAAGGCACAACTAGTGTACTAACTGTGCCACGTGCACTCACTACCTCTCATTAGTGCACCCCATTGTAAAGAAAACATCACTGTAATGGAAATATTCTAGAATCACCAATCTTCAAAAATTAATTAATGATCAACACCATGTCTATCTATAATATAAAGATTATCTATATACTTATTAAAGCATGTAGTTGTAGAATCTTCAGTAGATTGAGATTCATTAATAACATTACATTCTGATAAAGTGGTATTAGATTTGAGAATCTTGATTTCAACTGACTATAGAACTCTATTTCTATCATTGAGAGAATGTCTTTTATCTGCATCTATCTATGACTGTTTTTGACAATTCAGTGTCTATTCATTATTATTATTGTTCATTTAAGATGTATTCAGTCAGAAACTATGATATCTATCTAGTTAAAACTAGACTTTAATTATTTTACTAATATAAATAATAAATAGTAATCAATTTATGCACTTATGAAGTTTTATATCAAAATATTATAGTATTTGATAATCTTTTAGCAAAAGATATATTTATAATTTCAATTTCAATTCATTTTTTTTAACTTAAATAAAATAAATATCTTCTTATATAATGAAATAAATAATTTAATATAGTATAAAATAAAATAAATTAATATAATTCAAAAAAAATAAAATAAATTAATATAAAAAATATCTTAATAAAAGTTCTATTAAAAATATACTTTTAACTTTTATAAATCAAATATTAAATTCATTAATATTGAAGTTCATTCTTTAGAGACAATTTTTATTTTCTTTATAAACTTAATTAAAAACTTTCTTTTTAATTTATAATTGAATAAAAATATTATATTTAATTTAATAAGTATTTTACTATTAATTTCTTTTATATTTTATTATTTAATGAGTAATTTATAAGTATATAGTTTAAATTTTTAATTATATTATAGAAATCATATCTATCAGAGTTTAAAGAATATATAAATCTTTTTATATATAATTTAAAGTAATTATGTTCAAGTTTTAATTATATTATAAAGAAAAATATTTTCTTTCAATATTTTATTGATGTAGATTTTGATTTATATTTTATGTTATATTTTATATACTAAGTACTTTTTTCCTTTTTTCTCAAATGTTTATTTATTTATTAAGATATAATTTTTTAAACTTTTTTTAATATATAATTAGAATATAATTCTTTTATTTACTTTTTAAGTTTTAGTTTTAATTTTTATTACTAAATCTACTTTTTTATTTTCTAAAATTTTTATATAAGTAGATATTTAAAATAAATAAATCTAATTATTTTTATTTTTAATTTTAATTCATTTTACCATTTCTTAAAATAATTTAAAATTTATTTAATTACTTTAAATTTTATATTTTTATAATCTTTTTAAAACTATTTAACTCTATGAAAATATTTAAATATTATTAATATTTATTTTTTAAGAAATTATTTTATAAGCTATTATAGAAGTTTTTTAAATTAAAGACTTTATATCTAGATTCTAGATAAACTACATACGTCTTATGTTTAAAATAAAATATAAAATATCTATCTCCGCTCTCAGCTCTCATCTATTACTATTTGCTCTATGAGCAAATAGAAATTATAAATAATAAGTATTTCTCAATAGACGATAGAAGATTCTAAATGTATATAGCTCTTTTCTCAATAGTTAATAGATCGCTAATAGTAATAATAATCAATGTTCTTAGATTCAAAAATCAAAAATAAAGTGTATTACGCTTTCCACTTTCAAGCTTTAAGCTTGATCATTGATCATAAAATATAGTATATACACCAGAGAAGAGAGAAGCTACTATCATCTACGATAGTCTATAGTATTTATTTTAATATAGAAATCTTTCTTTATTTAAATTTTTTCAGATATATCTATAAGATAAAAAGTAGATACTCTTATTTAAATTGAATAATTTGTATTTATTTTCATAATTCTTAGAGTATAATTTATATAACTTTTATCAAATCTAATAGCTAATGATGAAATTGATATTTTTATTTTCATAGCTCTAACTGAAGATGTTTTTTAAAGCTTCTAAAATTCTTTTTAAAGTTTTATTCTGTAATAGTTAAAGTTGATTTATAAAGTGCTTTTACTCTTTTCATTAAATCTATAATGTGTAATTTGATATAAAAACTGTATAAGTTATATATAATTTTCTCATAATTTGAAAAGATAAACCTCTTACTATATTAGAAAACTTATTAATATTATTATTTAAAATTTTCTCAGCTTAAGTAATTCTTTTTTAAATATAAACTTTAAAGTTGAGCTTTAAGTTTAATCATACTCTCAGTCATCTTACAAAAGTTTTTAATTTTATAACTTTATCTTGAAAAGTAATAGTTTTCTTTTATTTAATTTTTTTAGAATAAAAATAAAATAATTCAGTTTTATTTATATTAAATTAAATAAAATTTTTACTTTTTTTCAAATATTTTCTTTATAGCTTTTTTTATATTATTATAATTTTTTTATATAGATTTAGAACTAGTAATAAAATTAATATTATCAATATAGCTAAAAGTTCTTACCATATAAATATTTTTATTCTTGAATAAATTAGCTATATATATAGTAAAAAAATAGATAAAATTAAAAATTCTTAAGAAATTTTTGTTTCAATAAAGATTTCTTTCTATTTCATTATATCAAAGAGAAGTTAAATGCTTTTTTTATAAAACAGATAACTTATTTACAAGAGACTTTGATAACTTTAGCTCTTGAATAATTAAAAATATTTTATTTCTTGAAACATTATTAAAAGCATTTTTTATATTAATAAAGATAGTAGTTGAGGCTAGACCATCATTATTAATTATTTAAATATCATAAATAGCTGATAAAACTGTATTTATTGCTGAATTTTATTTTTTACTATTTATTTGATCATTATACAGTAAATAAATAGCAATGACTAGAAAAGAAAGTCTAGAACTAATAACTTTTTTCAAAATCATTTCTAAATAATTTAATAAATATAAAACTTTGTTGAAATAATATCTATAACTTCTTTTTTATATACTGAATAATATTTATATTTTATTATAAAAAAATAATATAAAAAGTTCTTCTTTTAACTTAAAGTATACTTTTTATATTATAAAATAATTTATAAATTTATTATTATTATTATTATTATTATTATTATTATTATTATTATTATTATTTATTTAAAGTATATTCAGTCAGTAGCTATAATATCTATCTAATTAAAACTAGAATTTAATTGTTTTATTAGTATAATTAATAAATAGTAATTAATCTAAGTACTTACAGAGTTTTACCTTCAAATAATATAGTAATTAATAATTTTTTAATAAAAAATATATTTATAGTTTTAATTTTAATCTATTATTTTTTTAACTTAAATAAAATAAATAATAAAATAAAACAAAATAAAATTATAAGAGGTTAAACTTCTAGATTCACTCTGGCTGGCTGACTCAGTCTAGTCATCATTTGCACATGCACATGTGATCATGCTATGCAAGTTTGCTTAAGCTCAAGTTCTCATCTCATTCTTTTCTTCTCTTTCTCAAGCAATTCATTCTTGTTATATAGGAGGACTAGCTTTTAGTTCTTAGAGCTTAATTCTTTACATTACAAATTGCTTCACTTCTTTCATTGATAGATTACTGAGAGTCTTAATTCTGTATCACAAAGCTCAGTAAATATACTGACATATAATAGACTATTGAGAGCCTTAAATCCTGCATCATAAAGTTCAGTGATAGCACTGGTATATGAATAGACTGGGTTAGCAATCATACTAACAAACAAATAAGCAACATTAAAAATGTCTAGCTGAATGAGATAAAGCAGCAGACTTGTACAACAAATACACAAATGAATCAACATGAAGCAATGAGCAGAGATGCTCTCAGCAGCTTTAAACAACAATGAATGGTCTTTCTTCAACAGCAGAAACAGATTTAGTATGAGAATAGAGATTTAATAGCAGCTCAGCAAGCTGAAATAACTAATCTATATCAAGCTTTGAATACTCTGACATCAACTCTCTCTCAATTGAACTTGTAATCACTCATTGCAGTCAGAAGATCAAAGACCAAGCTACTGAACTGTGAGAAGTATGATGATTCTAATCTGAAGCACTACTCTCAGTGGGAGCTAAAGCTTCAATCAAAGCTTAAGATTGATGGAAAAGCTTTAGACAATAATGAGAAATGTGCTTGATATGTATACTCAAGACTGAAAGAAATAGCAGCAGCTTGAGTTTACCTCTGAGTTGAGAATAATAAGAACAAGATCAACTTCACAGTAGAGAGCTTACTGAAGCAGATATGTATGCTCTTTAGTGATTCCACATGACAGAAAAAGACTATACAAAAGCTCAACAATCTATGACAGAGTAGAAGAGCTCTCTTCAACTTTCTGTCTGAATTTAATCAGCTACTGCTGAAAGCTGGCAGTCACAGATGAGATGATTATATTAAAAAGAGATATTTGAAATCCACTCTAAGCATAGAGCTA